CTCCAGTTTGCGCTTGGAAATCACAGAATTCTACAACTACACCACACCCGACCACCACGAAACTCTTGCCAGGAAACACGTCGTCGAACGGGTGCGCAACCACCTTCGAGAATGGCTCCCAGACTACAAAGTTGAAGTGTTCGGCTCGGAACGAACTGGTATAGGCATGCCTTTATCAGACTTAGACTTTAGACTGGTACCAAAGTCGGAGTCGCTAGACCCTGCGCAGGCGAGACTTCCACCGAGCCAAACACAGCGAAACAAGAATATCAAGATGCTTCAGGAGTTACGCTATGCAGGATTCCGCAACAACAAGGAGTATCTGTTGCCTGTGGTTCGTCACGCACGTTATCCCCTCATCAGCGCGCAGGACGCGCAGTCTGGCTTGGATATTCAGATTGTACTTGCAAACGACACGTCGATCTCAAGAGTTATCATGCAAGGCTACATGGATGAGATACCCTATCTGCGGGAGTTATACTGCGTGGTCAAGACCATCTTCGACACAAGGGGCTTGTCGGACGTTTTTCGAGGCGGTTTTGGGTCATATCCGTTGTTCATGATGGTCGTCGCTAGCTTAAAGCATACGCCGAGTCCGCCAGGAGATTCCGCACGAGCTCTCCTCAACTTTCTTCACTTCTGGGGCAAGTTCGATACAGCAAAGCGGGGTATTTCTATTGAACCGGCTTACTTCTACGACAAAGCGGAGCATCCTGTCCTGACTGACGTACAGAGGGCCAAACGGGAGGTACGAATTCACTCAGTTCTTCTTCTTCACACACACGCTAACGACTATCTAGAATGGAAAAATCGATCCCATGCCCGACTATATGCTTTCCCTCCGCGACCCCGCCGACGAGACGAACGACCTCGGTCGCAAAGGCGTGGCTATCAAGCACGTTCAAGTCACCCTCCGAGATCTACACTATCAACTCGTTAACGACATCAAAGTGAACACACGGCCATCTCTACTCGCTCCTCTGGTAGGCAACTCGTACTTGTTGCAACTCGAACGCCGTCGCAAACTACGAGAATACGGCCGAGACCTAAAGGATAAGCAAGCTAAAATGCTTTCTCAAAAGGCAGAGGCAGTTAGGAAGGCGGATCAATTGGGGCAGTCGATGCCACCACAACTTGTAAACGAAGAGGCGCCGAAGACAAACGAAGAAGAAACGGCTCTAAAGAAAGAGAACGAAGAAGAAGAAGAGACTAAACAACGGTTAGCAAGAGAGCAAATGGATAGAGATTGGCAGAGGCTTACGGATGAGATGAATGAGCGGTTGAGAAAAAAAGCAGAGAAGGCATCAGCGTTAGAGCACGGTGATGCAATGGCTACCATCCCAGGCATGCCGGCGGTCGAGGAGGAATCACAAGCCAAAGAGACAACAACAACAACATAAAAGGACAAGGCGATGACGTGAAGAAAGCCTAATCTGCTTCGCCGAAGCCCCCAAAATGTGAAATCACCATGATATTGAAACCTTCACATTTGCGCATCTCGGATAAAGAAATCGAGCCTGTTCTGCTAAGAGTGATGATAGCCAGTGCTATGAACGCAGTCCAGCATGCATGCCGTGTACAAGAAACCCCCATCAGACACTATGCCTTGAAATCGACCCTAACCATCGTCTCATAACCCATCACAGGTGCTAACGAAACCACGCTCCGCCACCAGTCTTGCGTCCGCTCAACCTAGATGGCGTACTTTCGAGTCCACTCACGCGCCGTCGATTCATAGCGGGACCGGTCGGTCTTGTAGACGTGTGCGATCTCGGGGACGAGCGGGTCGTCAGGGTTCGGGTCTGTCAGCATCGAGCAGATACTCAGTAGCACTACAATTTTCGTTAGCATGGATTATGGATTCCCGTGGGAATTTCAGGATGGCCTACCCTTTGAGATGGTGAGGGCTGGGCTCCATTGATCTCGCAGAATATCCAAACAGATGCTGCCGTTGGAGTTGATGTTGGGGTGGTAGATGCGGGTGGTGAAGTTGACCTTTGGGGGCTTGAAGGGGTAGTCGGTTGGGAAATGGATCGCTAGGAAGAAGACACCGCCGGAATATGGTGAGTCGCCAGGACCCATGATGGTTGCTTGCCAGTGAAACTGCCGCACAGTTAGCATGTGTTTGGCCTTGTCTCTTTTTTCCACGATCATGTCGGTGAGAGTGTCTCAGCCGCGGGAGTCGTGCACAGAGAGTGACGTACCAGATCATCTCCAATAGGGCCAGCCGAACAGGAAGAGGGAGGGTCACTAGAGGTAGGGTGTCAGCCAAATATTCCACTCTTGGTCGTCTTGCGAAGCAGCAGCGTCGGGTTCTGGCGTACGGCCTCGCACCCGGTCGCTGCCATGTCGCTGCCCATGCGAGCAAAAGAGAGCAAGCGAGCCTCGCCGTCGAGGGAAAGGATATCACGTACCGGCCGAGATCGGTGAGCTCCTTGTTGATGCGCTTGAGAGCCATGGCTGCTGTGTGTATGTGTGTGGGTTGGTATGGGAGGGTATCGCGGTTGTTGCGGTAGAGCGAGTTGGTGTTGAAGAGTTGAAGTGGGATGTCTGCGCAGGCAAGGCGGTTAGTTAGCGGGGGTCCAAAGAAAGCAAGTGCGGCGTATCAGCGGAAGGCTCACCCGCCACACGCCTTCACGTACCTAAGACTCGCTGTGGGTGCAAGACAGGCGGCCGAGCTGTGCAAAGAGAAAGTCTGCAGTATGGGGCTCAGGCAGGGGCGTTTGTATTTATCATGTGTCAGACCCAGCCGCAAAGAGGCGACACAGAGCTGACCGCCCAACTGCACAGTGTCGCTGCCCACAAAATTCACCGAGCGTTTCTACCCTGTGCAGCTAACCGCGCTTGGTGGCAACCTATCGAAGACGCAAGAAGATGCGTCAAGGCTGACATGTACCTTCACAGTCGTCTTTGACTGCACTTAGTCACCGTACATTGGTCAGTCGCTCGACCTGAACTCGCGTGGCGAACTGCACTGTGGATACGAGCAATCAGAAGTGACACTTGCCGCGTTCGAGGCCAACTCGGGAGCGTGCATCGACCTTCACATGGTTTGATATGCGTCTACTTCTAAATAAACTCTGTCTGCATGCATAACATCTCTAGGCGCCTACAGCTAACGTGCTACTTGTGATTGGATGCGCCTTCATACACTTTTGTTGGTAGTACAGCAACAGCAGGAAAGATTCAAGTTGGAGCAACCTCGCTACAATCAGCAGAAGGCCTGTAATCCAGTAATGGCTCGACCGAGGATCAAAGCTGTTTTGAATTAGCCAAAATCACCGCCGTGTTTCTGTTAGACTCACAGTGGATGTCGCTCTGGCCTTCGTATGTCTGTGTCACAAACAAGTTGGCGACATGCCTTCCGATTCCGTACTCATCCGATACTGCATTTCCACCAAACACTTCTTGCAGTCTGCCCACAGTCAGTACAATATCATGCAAGCACTCGGTACAACTTACGTTCGTGCGTTGATCAACGCTCTGTCACAGTTCTGTCTCTTGATCATAGAAATCATCTCTGGCGCAGCTTTACCTTCATCCTTCAGGCGTCCGACTTGGTGGGCAGCCAGAATACCATACGCAGCATCCGTCGTAGCATCAGCCAGCTTCTTCTGCACAAGCTGGTATTTGGCAATCGGGTTCTTCTTGAACTGCTTCCTCTCTAGTGCATACTCTCGGGTCCTTGCGATGCAGTCTTCGAGAGCACCAATGGTGCCCCAGGCAATACCATATCTGGCTGAGTTGAGACAGCTGAAGGGTCCCTTCAACCCCTCCACTTCCGGAAACATGTTTGCCTCGGACACGGGGCATTCATCGAGCTGAATCATACCAGTGATGGACGCCCGTAGACCGTTCTTGTTCTTGATTGGTGGGGTTTCGAGAGTACCGGGTGGACATTGGTCGCGCTCAATGACAAAGCCACGGATTTTGCCCGTACTCTGCAGCTTCGCCCAGACAAGGAGGACATCGGCAATGGGCGAGTTCGTAATCCAGGTCTTTGAACCAGACAGTGAGTAGTAACCTTTCTTCGTAGGATGAGGCTTCGCAACCGTCTCCAAAGAGCCTGGATCGGATCCGTGGTTAGGCTCAGTCAGGCCAAAGCAACCAAGCAACTGGCCCTTGGCCATCTTTGGCAGCAGGCGTTCTTTTAGTTCTTCAGATCCAAACTCCTCAATACCACCCATAGCAAGTGAACTTTGAACAGAGTAGCCTGAACGATAACCTGAGTCAACCCTCTCCACGGCTCTGGTGATCAAGCCTGCAGCAACGCTGCTGACTCCGGCACACTCATAGCCTTGTATGCTTGCACCTAGCAGTCCCAGCTCACCCATCTCTTCGATGATCTTTCTGTCAAAGTTCTCATTGCGATATGCCTCTGAGCTACGTCAGCTGGCTATAGAGACCGAGGCAATGTCTCGCGTACCTAGCACTCTCGGAAGCATACGCTCCTGGCAATATGATTCAGCCGTCTCTGAGATGGCTTGCTCTTCTTCTGTAAATAAGTTGCTTGTGTTTAATGGGTCTTGCCAGTCAAACTTCACAGGAGCATGTAAGTATCGTTTGCCGAGAGCCGCGGATCGGAGTGGAGTGCGCAATTGCCGGGTGGCATGTCTGTATGTTGGTCGAAGCATGTTGAAGTCGTGATCAAGGATGAAGAAAGTCTTCTGGCTACACAAGAGTGACTATTATACTAGGGTCGAAACGAAGATATCCGTAATTGGATGATGTTGGCCTCGGAAAACCCCACGTAGAAAGAACCGCGGTTCGGAAGCACTCCGCGCGCGGTGGCAATAAAGCCAGCATCATCACATCAAACACGCGGCGCCTGGAGCGTCTGGGGCGTCTAATAAGATCTGGGGAGATTAAATACAGGATTCGAGATGCATCCCCAGAGAATGCCTGCTGAGCCTCACTAAGCGATGACAGGCGATATGTGGGGTAGCAGTGCCAAGGAATGTAGACCGTGATTGCGCGTGAGACGCGGACGCGTCGTGATAATGGTTGGCGTCACTTTCTCCAGCCTCCACGCCCTCGCCTACGCTTCTACACACAACAATCTAGGGCTACGACATCACCAAGTTCTACCCGATACACATTCACGCACTAGGGCAAACACCAGAGATGGGTATTAAACACCTGTACCAGCTCATTGAGGAGCATGCGCCCGAGGCAGTCAAGAAGGGCGAGATCAAGAACCAGTTTGGACGCAAAGTTGCCATAGTTCGTTCGCAGCATTCTCGGAGTAACAGGTCACTTGCTAACGTGTGCAGGATGCGTATGCATATATCAAACCTCCAATGACACTTCGAACCTAACATCGTGTAGATCTATGAGCATCTACAGTTTCCTCATCGCTGTCCGATCTGATGGTCAGCAGCTCATGAGCGAGACAGGCGAAACCACATCACATCTCATGGGTCTCTTCTACCGCACGATGCGCATGGTCGACAACGGTATCAAGCCCCTCTACGTCTTCGACGGCGCTCCACCCAAGCTCAAGTCCGGCGAGCTCGCGAAGCGGTTTCAGCGCAAGACAGAGGCACACGCTGCGGCTGAGGAGGCAAAAGAGACGGGTACAGCCGAAGACGTCGAGAAGTTCTCGCGGCGGACCGTCAGGGTGACGAGGGAACACAACGAGGAGTGTCAGCGCCTGCTCAAGCTCATGGGCATCCCGTACATTGTTGCGCCGACCGAAGCTGAAGCCCAATGCGCGACATTGGCGAGAGGCGGTAAGGTCTATGCCGCCGCTTCAGAGGATATGGACACCTTGACCTTCGATTCACCCATCCTGCTGCGACATCTGACCTTCAGCGAGCAACGCAAAGAACCCATTCTGGAGATTCATCTGGACAAGGTACTCGAAGGCTTGAACATGGAGCGGAAACAGGTACGGCATCTAAGGGCGCTTCCAAACTCTCACCTACTAACCACTTTCCAGTTCATCGACCTCTGTATCCTCCTCGGCTGTGATTATCTCGACCCTATCAAAGGCATTGGCCCCAGCACCGCTCTCAAGCTCATCCGTGAGCATAATGACTTGGAAGGTGTCGTTGAACACATCAAGTCCCAATCCTCCAAGAAGCTCACTATCCCCGACGACTGGCCCTTCGCCGATGCGCGCCTGCTCTTCCTTGAACCAGACGTCCGACCTGCCGATGACCCAGAATGCGACTTCAAGTGGGAAGCCCCAGACGTAGAAGGTCTTGTTAAGTTCCTGGTCGAGGAGAAGCATTTCAACGAGGACAGGGTGCGCAATGGAGCAGCTAAGCTACAGAAGAACATGAAGACAGCGCAACAGAGCAGGTTGGAGGGTTTCTTTAAGCCCATTGAGAAGACGGCCGAGGAAAAGGCCAGTCTGAAACGCAAGGCTGAGGAGAAGCTTGAAGAGAAGAAAAAGAAGCAAAAGGCTGACGCGAAGGCGAAGAAGCAGGCCAAGGCTAAGCCGAGGACAGCTGGCTAAGGGAAACTGGTTGCTGCTTGGAGGACAAAGTCAGATTTTTGTGCACGGGAAGCTGGCGTTCACGGAATAGTGATACCTGCTGGCTTATGGCGTTTTCAAGGCACACGTGCTAGCTGGTATTATGAAGTGCAAAACGCTTTGTTACTACATTTGTATGACTGCGTCTTGATATATAGTTTTTTCTAATGTCAAAATACAATTTCAGATGTTATCACAACAGTGATGGTCTAAAAGCTACATGGTAAAGTGAGATATCCATGTTTTAGCCTGGTGGTTCTCTTGTTGTGTTCCTGTAGTAAGTACAAGCTTTAGTCGATTCGTATATTTCAAGATTTTCCTACGCATGTACTCCCGCTCTGATCTTCTTGTATCGCTTTTCGCGCACAGAAAACTTCAGAATAGATTCAGCGTGTTGCGATACTCGACACATTGTGGCTAAACAGAGTGGTTTACTCTTGTAAAGCAAGCTGACCAACAATGTGGCCATGCCTGTCAATAACGAGAGTGCTGAGTGGGGTGATGGTGATATTGAAGGTTGTAGTTTGCGAGTTATACAGGGTAGTCGTTCAGACTTACTTCCTGTAATCGTCAGTATCAAACTACTGCTTTTTATGCGTGACTTGAACACAGGCACTGAACAAATCATGCAAAGACATTAATACACTTCATTATCACATATTATTCTCTCGACACCAGCACACATCACCCGTTACATCCGCAACTACGGTTTCGACAGGCTAGATAGCAGCGAAACAGCCTTCACCGGAATTTCAGGCGCAGAAAAGTACAATAAACATGTAACAATAGATTCCTTAGTGGGGCTATCACTGTCTACCCCAAAGGGATCATCCGCCATCCGCTTTCGAGTCACGCAACAAGCTCAGCAAAAACCCTCGAGGAACCAACACGGAACTTACCCTGACAGGCAGGGTCCACGGCTATCAAGGTACTAGTGATCGTTGAGCAACCGCTGAATTTCTACGGCAAAAGTCCGGACGTTTCAAGGAACCGAACGAACCCGGACTTGATTGTTTTGACAGACAAAGAGTTCACGCCAGTGGGTTCCAGTGGCGCACCAACCGGTTCCATGACAGCAATCGCGCCATTAGCGGAAGCATCCGCGTTTGAAGAGATAACAGCACTACGCTGGTGAAGTGCAACCGGCTACCCTACCGAAAAAAGAACAACATGGTACACTACAAAGCAACGAGCAAGAAGCTTTGTGGGTTGGAAACTTCTTCTTCTTTCGCTTTCAAACTGTGATAACCAAACCACGCTAGTGCGTAATAGGCCAAGTCGAGCCGCTGCCGCTACGATTGAAGAAACAGAGTTCGGGACTGGGAAACCATGGCAGGTATGGCGTGAGTAACAAAACTAATGACTCTGCGCGAACATGGCGCCACGTTATCGCGCCACTTAAGGTTTTCAAGGGTTCATGAATGTTAAGTTGTTGATCGACGTCGGACCCGACTTCCCCACAAACAACGTTTCAGTGAACAGAAGTGGATCACCACGAGCTCATGTGATGCGGTTTCGAGCACCGAAAGTTTGTTATCGTTCAAGGGTCTTTTGTGACGCAGGAATTTTGCCCTTTTGGTTCTGGCATATTCCGTATTCCTCCTAGTCCTGGCACGTCAGGCGAGGCTTCAACGGCAAACCTCGTCGATCCGGGAGAGTTGCTGCAAAGGGAGGTTGGCTTCATCCCTGCTCCTGCTTTGAACTTGCTGCGCCCATCATGCCAAAGATGCTGTTTTGAGTGCTGGGCGCCAGCTTCAGCGGCGAGTAGCGTGACTCTGGGAGGCGCCGATTCGCTTTGATACTGTCCAGGACCCTGCACATGTCAGTTGAGTAAATGCCACGGCAGGTGTTATGCATGAACTCTGATTGTGCGCAATCGGATGTGAAACACAGAGAGAAAGGCAGAGCGGGAGATGTGCAAAGCTTACTTACCACTCTGCGTTGATAAACTTGACAGCTTTGCCGCCTGTCCTGGTAATCTCCTTTTGGATTTTGGTTGCAGCTAAGCCACCGCCTGCGCCGCCGTTTGCATTTACTCTTCCAAGAATGACATGCGTTACGGTTCGACGGCCTAGTGATATCGAGTGTCTAGCGCCGTGAGCGGCGCAGAGCCGCTTGAGCTTGTGGTCAGAGACTAGGGGAGCGGTCGAGCCGTTGAGGTAGAAGCAGAGTCCGGCGAAGATCTGGTTCTCAGGAGGCTTTGACGAAGATTGGGAGAGGTCGCTGTGGACATGTGCATCTGATTCTGTTCCTGCATCAGAGGACACTGGAGGCGCATTTGTCTGCCCATGGTTGGACATGTCATGCGCGTTCATGGCAACACATTTGGTGTCTTTCTGTTGGGACTGCTTCCTGCCTGCCTTGCTCGCAGCCCATACCTCGGCCAGGCTCTTCTGTCCTCCTGTCCTGAGACCTTTTGCGCCCTTCTCCCAGCTGCCGTTGTCCTTGCGACCATCCTTGCCAAAATCCTCACTGCCTGCGCCAACCGTGTCGGCGACCCGTCTACCCCCGTCCCTACCAGCCTTGAACTGCTCTCCCAGCTTGAGGCTCCGCGACGCGCGCCATGACGTAGAACCAGAGAGGCGATTCTCAGCGCGCTGATGGCCTGTACTGGAGCTGTTCCAGGGGTCGAAGAAACGTCGTGGCGGTGCGGTGGCGGCAGCTGGGGAGGGCTGGCGAGGCTGACGAGTTTCGGCCGTACGCGTCGAGGTGTTGATTACTTGAGATGGGCCAGACGCGTGGGATGGGCTGTCGGCATCGCGGGCGTCGCAAGAGGTCAGCTCCGTGTTCGGGATGGATGAGGCCATATCGGGTGCTGATCGTGCTTCACGGTTAGCTTCGGGGCACCTTCATGCCGGGGATGTGATTGACTGCATTTCGCATGCCCGCTGAACGCACGTGAGGAACTTGATGGCCATTGACGTTGCAACGGGCACCCGAAGCCGTGCTCCATGCGGCAAAGTGTGGCGGGGGCGACTTACCCTGTTGTTGTTATGCTTGCAGATGCATGTGGGAACAGCTGCGGGCTCAGTGGGCAGTGTGATTAAAACAAAGTTTACCTTGCCTAGGGTCTTGAATCGCCGTTCAATTGATTTTGCAAAACAAACTTTACCATCGGGTGTTATGAGCTCTACGCGAGACAAACAGGATCAATAGGGAAGGTCAACAACGGAAGCCTCGTTCCTTATGGTCTCGTTTCTCGCCTCATCGCGAGCGCCGCCAATGACACGCGTGCAGGACTGTGCAGTGTTGAAACAGTGTGATTGTGATATGTATTATCCATTACTCTACCATGTCTGAAATGACACGATTACACTAAAGTTTTCGGATATCGATGCGTGTTCCGCATCAAGGCACTCGCGTACCTTTTCGTATGTACAGCCGAAGAAAAGAAACATGCCAGCAAAAACAATCGTGTACTACGCCTTTGCCATGCACCCAGTTCCTGAACGCCATGCTTTATCCATCATAGATCACATAAGCCCTGATGTACTAACATGAAAATAGAAGTTTTGACCCGCGAAGGTATTGCTTCTGACAACGCCCGCTAAAATCAAAGGCCTCTCAGCCTCGTAACAAAGAACAATGGGGACTCTAATAAAATGAGTCGAAACCAGCGACCAACCTGCATGCTTTTGCGACGATGCGACGTCTCCGTCCTGCGTCCAGGGATCGCGCCGTGGCATCGGTCCGAATCGTGCTTACAACGACCCGGGATTCGTGGGTGCATGTGAACATGCTATGTTGACTCGTGGTGAAGATGCGAGTCGTCATGAAATCGTAACGGCCATCGTAATCAACCGCTCGGCTGTCTACGCCTGGGTGGTGCTCTTGCTGACTGACGCCTCGTACATCATTCGGTGCTTCTTCATCTCGTTTGCGTCGAATGGCATAGAATCGCTGCCCTTTCTGCTGGACAGAGATGCAGAGCTGCCGTTGCCAAACTTGAGACTTGCTAATGATCGGGCCTTCTTGAGCGACTTCTTCCCAGCATTCTCACCGGTCGGGGGGACGTAGTCAGCAGCGGCCCGCTGGCTGAATTGCGTTATCTCTTCCACTTCGGGCCGGGGCTTGACTCGCATGCGCTTGAACTCGCGAGTAATCCTCTCGAGCTTGCTGAGGCCCTTGGGGGCCGGGGCATAGCTTTGCATGGGTTCGGATGCCTGCTCGCCATGCATGCTGGAGCCTACACTGGGCCGGCGTTCGGAACCAAAGCTCACACCAGAATCATGCTTCTTCTCTTTTCCGGGTCCGTTCATGTAGCGATCAAAAGACTCGGGTCCATGGGTGGCTATGCAGTCTTGAATCATATTCTGGGCAACTCGGAGGTACTTGTCGACAATCCTCTGGACAGTGGGCCAACCGGTTCGATCTTCGGGACGTTTGTCCCTGTTGATCAGGGGCAGCAAGACATCAGGTCCTCTCTTTTGCACCTGACTAATCAGTTCGAAGAAGATCTGGCGCTCTTCTTTCAGGGCTTCGTGGTTCAGGAACTGTGAAGGAAGCTTGGTCTGGCCGTGAACAGGAGGGAAGAGGGTGTTGAGATAGCTGATGCAGTTGAGCTTGTTGAACTCTTCATCTGAAAGGTGATTGATCATGATCTGCCAGCGGATGTTAGTAGATCACGTGTGAAAGGAGTGGCATAGCTTACCCATCGGCGGAGTCCGACCCAGAGCTGAGCGTAGTACGACTCAGCTTTTCGGTTCTTGCCCTCAAGATTGTTGATCCAGAGTGCAATGCCCGGTGCCTTTTCGGCTACACGGGCCATGTCGGCATCCCATGTGTCCCTGTGGACATCAAGGGCCTCGAAGGTGGTGGCCATTTCCCTCCGTCGGCGCGTCTCGAGATCTTTGAGGTAGTCGAGAGCTGTCAAGGCTTGGCTCCAGTCAACATCAGCTGGCTCAGGCATGAAGGTCCGGCTGACAAAGTTTACGATGAAAGCGGGTGGGAGTGCGCTGGTCCGTGTGGGTAATGCTTTGAGCTGGTTCATCAAAGATGAGGTAAAGCTCATGGCGGCAGCTTCGGTAGGGTTCCATGCGAATTGGCTGGAGACTGGTGATGTGCTGCCGGACTTGGCCAGGCTCTTGGGGAATGGTTGGGCGCGGTCCACACGGTTGAGCTCGTACATGGTTTTGAGGGGGATGTCGTAGCTTCCGGGGTACTGTAAGACGTGTTCGAGAACGTAGGCCATTGAGTTGTGGTTCTCATCCGACGCGCTGCGGGAATGATTTGATGCCATAGTGCTGAGCACGTGAGCGTGGCAGGGCAATCAAAGGGTCCAGGCGGCGGCGCAGCGCTAAACCTGCGCGTATCGCAGAGAAGCAAAGACGGAAAGCGATCCCCGGGGAAGCGAAGTTGAGTTTGAGGGTGTTGTCGAAGAGGAGAAGGCGGTCCGTGGGAGAGAGCTAGCGGGCGCGTGGGGTTTTGGTGGGGTGGTCGTAGCGTTTACGAGAAGAAAGGAAGGCGCAACCAGCAAAGGAGGCAAGAGAAGAAAGCACGACGGCAATGCTGCAGATAAACGGTGCTACAGCTCTGGGTGATCCACGGCGAGTCGCTCCAGGCAAGTGGTGTGGCGGAGATGATGGTCCAAGTTATAAGTTGTGTTGCAAGTGACAAATGTCCAGTGTCGTTGGTGGTGGGATGTGCGACCAGGCAGGGATTTGGAATGGGCACGGTATAGGCACGGTAAACAAAAAAGAAGGACAAACACGACGATGCTCGAGCGGAGACGGTGGTGGTGTAGGGCGGGATTATGAGGAGCAGACGGTCGCAGAGGGCTGGAACGGGCAGACGTCGGGTAGGTATACAGAAAGGGTTTTGCGTTTGCTCTAGCCAACGCTTCTTCTCATGATCCCTGAGCGAGGGCCCGTGATGGTCGCTTTCGCACTTGCATGAGTGGCGTCAGTGACAGGGGCTTCCAGCTTCCCCGAGAACCACGACGACCTTGGCCTAGCGCGCCGGCGGCAACGCCTTTCAGCTCGAGTGCATCAAGCTCCCTGCCGACCCCGCCCCGAGTCAGGCACGCTGCTCCCTGCTCCAATCCATGGCTGACGCTACACATTCGCACTTGGACGACGTGCAACTCTAGGCCTCCCCTGAAGACCCTGAGACGTCACCCTCGATGTGGCAGCAGCTGTACCATGGTCGAAAACACGCAGAAAGCAATTGTGTCCCAAGCTAGCCCTCGACTGACGGCGCAGAGGGTCGGACAGCTGCGGACCCTCTGCTTCACTGAGTCGCGTTACGTCTGCCCAACCGTACGCCATCTCTGCGCCGCCCTAACTCAATTCACCATCGACGACTGTTGTCCTAATGCCAGGATAAGCCTGTACCGGCAATTGTCACCTCCATCCTTCACAGAACCCAGTGCAAAAACTCTATCGCCTCGCACGTCAGTATCCCACAGAACCATGACCATAGCTGGCCACTTGTGAACTCTGCCCCAAAGCTTCCTGATCCGCATCATCTTGTCAGCTTGTGCGAATGTGTAGCGAGCCTCTGAGCATTGCGGCGTAGCAGCGCCGTTGACGATGAAACCTCAGAAAGTTGGCTCTTGTAGCCTAGACTTACGACTCATACCCTTGACCTTCAGCACAGTCGCAAACGAGATGTACCTTGCAGACTCGGAGCTGCAGCCATGCGAACTTATCACCTCCCACGCCCCCTGCCCCCGTTGTCCAAGCCTGCAGCCGAGTGGGGTGTTTGCAGCACCGATAAAAGATTGCTCATGTCACAAAAAAGCACCATAACAGCGCTGACATTAACAACTAACGCGACGCGTCTGGCATGTTGTTAAAATTAATGCTTCCGCACACTATGAATTAGGACATAGCCTGCAGTCTTCATCCCGCCGTCGGACAGTGTCCGAAAGGTGTGATTGAACCCCCTCAACTACAACCACAAGTGTATGCACATCAATCGCCTTGGGCCGCGGTGCAGCAACATGGCACGCGTTCGAGATCGGACTCGTACTGGCAACGCGAAGGATCGTCCTAGCAGTCCCGAGTCCTGAGTCCTGCTAGTATCAGTGCACCTCCTCGCTTGGAAACCACGCACCATCAGGTCGAGGGCATCCCCATCATGGCACCAGCCGAGATTGTCTCATTTCATCGATCGAAACACTGCGATCATACTGCACATCGCCAGATTGACGAACTCTTGGGTCTTTTGCGCTGGCCACCGTCTGACAATTTCCTCGCAGGCCAGTCGGCCACGGGTACTAATGCCGGTGTGTACCTAGGTATCCTCAACAATCCCCAGCCGCGCAGGTACACACGCAGCTAGCCAACAATGCCAGGACGCGAGTATGAATCGATAAAGACCGTTGAAAATAATCTCCGCGTCGATCTGCTCGCGACTGGCAGACCATGACCAGCACCCCAGTTTGTCTCCACACCTAACGTTGCAGTTTCCCATTCGTCGCAGCCCAAGATTACTCCTCTTTTGCGAGCTACACCATTGTTGCAACAACAATTATGCGCATTGAAGATCAACTTCAGTGCGCCACGGAGATGGCGAGTAGCTGAGGCGAACAAATGGCTGAATTTCAAATCACATTCTTGCCATCGCCGTCGCCATGCAGTCATGCCCTTTCTTCGTGGCGTAATCGGGCTCGATCTTGAAATCGTAGATGTGTGCCATGAACTTTGGTACAGTTACAAGAATTTGTGACCGATTCATCAGATTTAACGCGAAGGTTTCCACCACACTCGCTCTTCTCCGTAACACGAGGGGTCGTCGCGGGAACAACTAGTCGAGGTCCGGCCAAGGAGTACCAAAACTCAGTTTCCTCATTAGCACATTGCTGGACATGTGTGCCAATGGCAGGCCTACTGAGAACTTGAATGTGATATTATCCAGGTACACTGCTGTATGCATACGGTAGGGTTGACCTTACTGTTCGGCGTCAGGATACCTCGGGCATACCGGAAGGACACGTAATGTGGAGCTAATGATCCTTGGTTGGTATTTGAACAGCAACTGCACAGCCTCACGATCGCAGCCTCATCATCGGTCATAAAAAAGTACGCCAAGACCGAAGGCTATGCTATGACAAAGGCACTTACCGACGCCATGCGTACGTCTCTCGAGCCTTCTCGCTATGCTTGGCGTGTCAACTTTGGTACCGTTTTCTCGGGTTGCCGCAAAACCTCCATCGAACTGATCGGTGGATATCACGGCAAAGGATATCTCAAATCACCCAGAACAGCTTCTGGTTCAGAGCATCTCAAGACTTGAGTCAACATCATGGCGGGGTTGCTAGATTCTTCGATGCAGTATGCAGGTGCTTTATGAGTCATCTGACCCATGTATTCACGCAGCAACAGTAGTCCTGGACTCAAACCATCAATTGTCCATCTCAGAACAAACATCCCCTGACCTTTTGAACATGGCCTCATCCTCTCAGCTCGAATTTGTGACCGTGGACGTGTTCACGTCCCAGCCATACGGCGGCAATCCGCTGGCCATCGTTCGCATCCCGCACGACCGGACACTAACTCAGGAACAAAAGCAAACCATCGCGCGAGAGTTCAACCTATCAGAGACCACCTTCTTACACGAGAATGCGGATGGTGCGACGGAGGACAAATGGACCGTCGATATCTTCATGACATCGCAGGAACTACCGTTTGCGGGTCACCCGACCGTAGGCACTGCGTGTTATGCTTTAGAGAGGACGGCTCGGGAGCGTGGTATCCACAGCGGCGTCATGGAAGCGAGCTTCAGCCTTAAAGCCGGAGATGTTGGATTGCGGTACGACTGCGGCAAGATGACGGCAAAGGCTTCCATTCCTCATGACGTGTACGTGCTGTGTTTAGAACTGTTCTCCTCGGCGGGCTTTGGAGTTTGAACTACCGGTGTTAGCACCCAGTGTTCCAGACCAACCGCCTGAGTCAATTCGGCGACCTGAACTCCAATGGACGTATGTCGGCTGACTAGTGCAGTCATATCCACGAGAAGAGATACACCAAGGACGAGCTGTTCGCACTACAGCCTCGATTAGCAGAAGCTCATCAGGAAGGCAAGGTCGGGGTCAAAGACGACTTTGCTATTGTCTCAATTGTCAAAGGTATGACCTTTGTTCTAGTCGAACTGGAGAGTGAAGAGGCCCTGGGTATGGTATCGCTAGCTGGCCAGTCTCTCAAAATCCAAGGCCTGGATCAAGGCTGGGACCAGACGTTCATCGGGACATATTTCTTTGTTCGGACGGGAAAAAGCAACGAGGGCGTGACCAGAGTAAGGACCAGGATGATCGAGGGTCCATTGGAAGATCCGGCCACTGGTAGCGCCGCCAGCGATTTGGCAGCATATCTTTCGTTGACAGCAGGAAGAGAATCTAAGACGCTCAAGTACGAAATTATTCAGGGCGTAGAGATGGGCAGAAGAAGCGAGATCTTCATCGAAGTCGAGATGACCGAGGACGGAGCTGTATCGCAGCTGTTTCTCGAAGGCGGCGCGGTGCAGGTAATGGAGGGCCGATTGACCATCTGAGACTATGGAAGATGATAGATCCGAAAGTACGCGTGTAAGGGAGCTTCAAATCGTTAATCAAAGAACCCAACATCGAGGGTTCACGTTAGAGAAAATGCAACCTGAGAAGTTTCTGCGGGTGTTGGTTACAGATGTAGATCCATTATGCCTGAAGACACGTCTTGCCTCAGGCATGCCGAATGACCCGCAAACGCCGAACTACATAGGGAAATCCTGATTCCGTAATCCTCGACAACGCTCGAGGACCGAACGTGTAGCGGGGGTTTGACATGAGCTGTCTCAGACCGATTTGCCGGGAGCACGGTCTTTGAATGTGGGCCAAAGGGGTATCTTCGCTTGCAGAGTCGATGGAGCAAGATGCAGATCTTCGAGAATGGGTATACACAATTCTGCTAATGGGTGGAGGAATGTGCTGACTTCTCGCCTGGGCGCCGCGTTCATAGTGGAGCTGGTGAGTCGTCTTGACCGGGTGGTAAGACGACTTGGCAAGCAGCGATAACATCCCAAACAGCAAACATCGTGCACATCCGATCATTATGGATCTCGGATGAAGGATTGCCGTCATTGAAGGTCTTCGCAAGAAGAGCAACTTGATTACGACATCCAACAAAGTGCGTGCAATGATACGGCGCAGGATCGTACTTGTTACTCCGTAGTCCTGCTGACACCTGTCACGCCCGTCAAAATCGAGACAGTGACAGCACAAACTAACCTTGCTCGTCTGTGTAGCCCAGCACCTCCGACATTCCAGTGAGGCTCTGGGGGAGGCGTGGGTCACAGAGTGGGCCGCAGCAAGTAAACCAATCTCCCCGCTGGCGTTGCGGTGGTGACGAACGGCTATCGGAATCAATCACACATTCCTGCCGTGCATTCGGTTGTCGTATGGCGCATGGCAAGGCATCATAGGAGTTTGAGCAAGCCCTCCTCAAAATTTAGAGGATGCCTGGCTTCGTCCTAGAAGGCGCTTAGCGTATCCTGTTCGGGTTAGCGCAAACGTGGTTCTTGCACACCTCATACACGAACCGTTTCTCGGACCTCCTCTTCAATGCCTGGCGTACTCTTGTTCCGGAGAGGCTGCCATGACAGCCTCAGTCAATAGTAGGGCGCCAGTTGATGCCAGCGCCCCGTGCGCGACCTTAGAGATGCCGGTATGAGTGGGTTTGAGACGTCTCTGCCTTCATCGTGGGTTTCATGCCCGAGGAACCACGAGCCGCCTTACTAGGTTACTCTTTGCCTTCTACGTCGCCAAGGACTTAAGGCAATGCGATTCCTCCAAGATATCTGGCGTCCTCACCATCAATCAGTCGCTTGTCCTATTACACTCCGGTTCTGCAGTTGAGGGTTACATTCCTTTCTCTTCCTCTTAATTATTCATTCAGATTACGTTGAACGTGTCTGCCTTTTTGTAATCCACCGCTAGCCGGACTCCACTCTTTTTACCAGTCTTACTTTCTGTTCTTCGAGCATTCATCATGCGCTTCTCTACCCTCGTCCCTTTGCTGCTTGCGGCCGGTGTTGCCAACGCCCAATTCGGTGGTCAAGGTGGTGGTCAAGGCCAGAACAACGGCCAGAATGGACAAAATGGCGGCAACAATGGCCAGAACAACGGTCAAAACAACGGTCAAAACGGAGGCAACAACGGCGGTAACAACGGTGGCAACAATGGTGGTAACAACGGTGGTAATGGTGGTGGTTTGGCCCTCAATGCCGATGTCGTTCAGAAGGCCAGTCAATCCGACGGATTCGACCAGGGTAAAGAGGACGGACAAGCCGCGTCTCTCACGTATGTTGGCACACAGATTCATCTACAAGTTCCCTACTAACTTTGTAAGTGACCAAGCCAACTTCATCAACTTCTGTCAAGGCAAGACCCTCACCAATGGTCTCCAAGTTAAGGAAGGCTCCTGCAACGGTATTGGTAAGTTTTGAACAAGCGTAACAGTGAACCCAGTCACTAATCACAAATAGTCATGGGAGATATCCCTGCTGTCGGCCAAATGATCTCGGCGGTCTTCACTGATCCCAAGAACAACGACGTCAAGCAAGAGAACCAGAAGATTGACTTCTCGGTGAAGATCAACAACTTGCAGGCGGGATCTTTCACGAACCCCGACAACACCTACTACGCTGCCCCGCAGACCCTTCAGGGAGGTAAAGTTGTTGGTCATACACATATTTCCGTTCAGGATATGGGCAACAATGCCAACAACCCTCCTGACGCTCAGACTTTTGCTTTCTTCAAGGGTATCAACGACGCCGGCGATGGCAACGGTCTTCTCACTGCTACTCTTGATGCTGGTCTTCCTGCTGGTAACTACCGTGTCTGCTCGATCACCTCTGCTAGCAACCATCAGCCTGTTGTCATGCCAGTCGCTCAACGTGGTCCCCAGGATGACTGTGTGAGATTCACTGTCGGCCAGGGCAACGGTGGCGGCAACAATGGCGGCAACAACGGTGGCAACAACGGTGGCGGCAACGGTCAGAACAATGGTCAACAAGGCGGTCAACAAGGCGGTCAGCAAGGTGGTCAGCAAGGTGGTCAGCAAGGTGGCCAGCAAGGAGGTCAACAGGGAGGTCAACAGGGAGGTCAGCAAGGAGGTCAGGGAGGCCAGGGCGGCTTTGGTGGCTTCGGTCGTGGACGCGGACGTGGACGATTCGGCCGCCGCAGCTTCGCCGCCCGCGACTTTGTTGCTTGAACGCCTCAAGAAGGATGAGACGGATGATGAGGCTTGGGGTTTGAGGCGGTACACGCGGTAATGGTGCTTTCCTTTTTGATGACAACTTCTATTACTGTAGTTAACATAGAACGTACTTCTGTCCCTAGAAGGGCACCGAAGGTCACTCTACGGAGATTGAAGCGGAGCGCTTCATTGGACTGGTTCTAAGGGCGCTATTTCCTTCTCTGGCGCTTAGTTACAGTTATGAAATGTAAAATTATTGAAGTTGTAATGACAAACGCGGTCTCCAGTTTACCTCGGGGCACGAGGGCCTCAGTTCTGCTAGCATGTGCATGACATTCCAAGCCCTAGGCTTCATGGGCCTGTGACGCATTAAAGGTGACGAGACGTTGCTGTCTCAGGCTACTGCTCAGGCACGTGTGTTTCAGGTACTGCCAACTTTTCACTTGCGACATATGGTGGGGACAAGCCAGCCGAGACATGCCGCTACTTGTAAACGGAGTAGATCAGCCTTCCCTCAGACACATCAACCTTCACATAGGACATGGAATGTATTTTTCCCTGTCTGTAGAAACTCCTTTCCGCGTCTTTGTGCATGTGTCAGCGCCTAGCAAAACTAGCATGTGCTGTGTTAGGTAAGGCCAACCGCGGATGACTCAACAGTGATGCACCGTGGATATATGGTGCTGATTATACCTCCTGCACAAGTCCTTAAACAACAGCAAAGCAAAATGACGAGCGAAACGTCTAATCAGGCTGGGACTTTATTTGCAGTGTGCGCACCCACATCTATCTTACCAGTTGAATTATGGCTGCATATCCTCGAACGAGCAAGCATTTACGAAGCAAGTCACCTCTGGACTGCCGTACGGCATGTGTCACGGAAATTCAAGGATCTTGTTGAACGAGTGTTCGCGTCGATCTACCTCCCAATGTTCGCCATCACGCTTTCACTTCCGCGCCGCGACCCCACTTCTGGAGCTCTGCTTTGGCCAGGTGCGCCAATACCCCGCGCGCAATTGAGCATGTCGTTCGACGGCCTCAATGCCGATGAAAGCTTTGCCCTGTTCCGTTCGCCGAGTGTACTCAAAGAAGGAACAAACGCAACAAGCGTCGAAGAACTCAAAAACACTTCTGTGCTGCCACTAGAACGACTACAGGCAGCTACGGCATGGGTGCACTTCACTCGGAACCAGCTGACGGGCATAGCGATGCGTGTGCCTGGATACCTAAGCTGGGACGAGGAACGAAAGACATGGGTATGGAGTGTGAAGTGGAAGGATCTTATGACGCAGTTTTATGCATCAAGAAAGCAGAAATCAAGCGTGCAGGTGCAGCCCTCCAAAGGCGTGACAGGCCGAACCAGATTCTCGAATAATTGTACATAGACGACCAGGCTGTTTTCGTCTTCAAGCTATCAACCGCGCGCTTCCACTCCGAGACGAAAGTCGTACCCTTAATCTTGCGGACATGGCTTCAACTTGACTGGGAGACAGATCTGGATCCACGAGGTTTCTAGTTTCTTCCGACAAGCCATGTAGTAATGTGGCCAAAGAAGATGATTTCCATAGCGGCGCCTTGGTCCTTCTTCCTTGTACAATCGTTGCAAATATTAATACCAAGCTTCCTACGAGCGATACGGCGGGCAACGTGATCCAGGCCCAGCGGATCTTCACAAAACGTTCCGAGCTCCACGCTATTCCTTCTATGAGCCTCATACCAGAAGACCGTGATTTCATGTCGTTTGTTATAGCTTTCGTAAGGTTGGAGATATGACTCTCGAAGTCGTAGGGCGGGATCTGATGAAAGTTCCACATGCCAGAGTAGAGCTCAAAATCGTATGCAGGATCTTGATCCAGATAAAAGGGAAAATCCGACAAGATCCAATCGCGGAGGAGTTGAGTGCTTCCATTGAGAATTTGGAATGTGTTGTTCGAGCCCAAACTAGCGGTTATAGGCCAGGCGGTGCTATTGTCCAATGACTGGGGCTGTACGACGACAGTATCTAGTACCCTTTCCTGTAGCATACCATTGACAATGCGGGAATCAATAGTATGAACATTCCCTAATCAATCACTCGCATCAGCTGACGATGCATGCGACCTGGAGACGCGACTTTACTTACATGTGAGTAAACATTCTAGCAATACTGGTGTTTGGTTTCTGAGCGCCGCTTCTGGACCTCCTGGCGTATAAGCGATATAGAAATCCAAGATAGGTAGAGTCGAATTGTGAAAAGCTGTGGTGTTCCAGAAGTGGTTGCCACTAGATTCAAAATCAAATGTTTCGACTACCAACGTCGATAAACTGGTCACCTTGCGAAAACCGAGATTACCTTCGACGCCAGTAACGAACGTATCGTTCACCTTGTAGCCACAGGGATCCACCGCCGAGACGGCTTGTTGTGGCAGGGCTAGTTTTGTGTTGTTTTCGCATATATACTGGAGCAGGTAAGACACGTCTTGACATGTATGACCGACGCCAAGTGTGGCATACGAAGGCCATGTACAGTTTGCCGTAGAGCACTGCGCCGTGGAGGGTCTCATAGCAATTTCTGGGGTGTTGAGGACGGTGTCGATCGCCAAAGTCATTGTCGGGTCTCTGTTATTGTTGTCAAAACCAAGCCGGCGAGTGCTCGGTAGAGATTGGGGTACAAAAGTTGATGCAGCCCATGTCGAGCCACCTCCAACGATCATCGTACGATCGGGATAGGTGACGATTTGTTGGAAGAAAGGCTCGAATGCTAGGCCTAGTATGGTGATCAAGGCAGCCAAGGATACAACATGCCTACATAGGTATCAGTATGTAAAAGTCTAGTGTTGGGTACATTGCCAGGACTTACCTGCATCGTGTTCTGATAAGTAGCATAGTCGCACCCCAAGGCCCACGACTGGCCGCGTCAAAAAGTTGGAAATCCCATAGTGCAGCCTCCTCTTGGAACCAGATCCATTTCAACTGACTAATCGCCTCGGAAACAGGCATTATTAATGCTGCTTTTGAAACCGCAGCAAAGACTGCAACGTATGCGTTGAGCGTGATGCCTGTTATCAAGTGTTCTGGCTGTCTTCTACCATCATAATACCACAGTACACCCAATATAGCCGCCACACAGACGAAACTAATAATCCAGCTGAGTATCTCCCACCACCACCAATCAGTCACGATCCGGTCATAGAAGTTCGTTGATGCTCGGATCCGGGACCGGTCTTTGGTGTCGTTCTCCTGCTCTGGTGATTTCGAGGCCGCGGAATGAAACATGTCTGGAATACAGAAGATTCTTACCTCACAGGAGGTATATGTCGACAAGTATGAAGCACCATGTCCTCCTATCGATACGGTGTGATGCTGCTTCGCCGCAATTCAGGGTCCCATGCATGCACACCAGGAATAGACAGGAGGAATGGTATCATTCCGCGCCTCACTCACTTGCGGTGGGCTTTTGATTCACCCGGTATTAGATTGGTTGGAGAATGTATCATCTAATTTTGCGACATCTATGTTGCAAGCGCCAAGGGAGATGGCTGTCCGTGTAAGCGCCGGCCACATGGTCGCCCCATTACGAAGGGCACCAGAAATCGCTTACTCCTTTGGGCTGTGTGAGGAGCATTACACTTGTTCTTGACGAGATCAATTCGGTAGGACTTTCGCTATGTGGTGATTGGCCCTTCAGGTACTCAGCCGATGGCCTTTGCAGAAGTCATTCGCTGTGCAACCAAGCTAAAGACGGCGATTGATGACATGAATATGGCAAGATTGTAGAACTGAGTTCGCATCAGCTTGACGATGTTACCAAGATTGAGAATGTTGGAGAGAACGCACAGCTTTCCTCGAGTACGCGCTCTCCTCGGACTCGCTGCGCGCCTCAACGAACAGTCGACGTAGGTTCGGTAAATTGGAAGGCTACCATCTCGCATTAGAGTTGCAGTGTAGACGGGCTGCTATGCTCAACTTACCATGTTGATGTTTTGGTGCAACAGTGAGCGCAGCGGGAGCGTCGAAGCACTTCCGGGCTGGGCTAGATGCGATACATGGATGGGGCCCCAAATGTGCACGGACCATGTCCTCAAGGTGGCAGTCTGGCAATCGCGAAGCTCCACGAGCATTGACATAACCCGCATAATCCCTCTGCAACGCCGCCCGACCCAGAGACGCCGAATTTCGGATACCCTTACATACAATCTCAAGAGACTGCGCCTCGAATACCCCGCCCCTTGCAGCACAGGTTGCAGACCTTACGAGCCGGAGTCGGAGGGGTTTGGCTGAGCGACTGGCCTCTGCGGTCCTACAAAGATGGCTGTCAACAGGATAAGAGGCGCATTCGCGCCCCCGCGCAAGGGAGAGACGTTTGAATTGAGGGCAGGTCTGGTGTATGATCACCCAAGAACCGGTTTAGCTGTTCATAACTGACTATTGCCCTAGTTCTCAATATGCTTACGAACGGTGAGCACATGGAACTATAAGACGCATTTGGAGCAAATACTAAGACTATGTCAGGAAAGAAGCCATTCAGAAGACTATCATGTCCATGACTTTGGGCAAGGATGTCTCGGCGCTCTTCCCTGACGTTCTGAAGAACATTGCAACTGGGGACCTTGACCAGAAGAAGCTGGTATATCTATACCTCATGTGCGTACAAACCAGGCTGCGCATCAAGCGGAAACTGACAACATGCACCAGGAATTACGCAAAATCACATCCCGACCTCTGCATTCTCGCCGTAAACACTTTCGTGCAAGACTCCGAAGACGCAAACCCACTCATACGAGCATTGGCGATCCGAACTATGGGCTGCATCCGCGTGGATAAGATGACTGATTACATGGAGGAACCTTTGCGGAAAACACTCAGAGACGAATCTCCATATGTACGGAAAACCGCAGCTCTGTGCGTGGCTAAGCTCTTCGATCTCGCACCCAACATGTGCATCGAGAACGGTTTCCTAGAACAGCTGCAGGAACTTGTTGGCGACCCAAACCCCATGGTGGTCGCAAACTCGGTCACTGCGCTGGTAGAGATTCAGGAGGCAGCACCGGAAACCAAAGCTCTCGTCATTTCATCACAACAACTGAAGAAGATGCTTTTGGCGCTGAACGAGTGTACAGAGTGGGGCAGAGTTACTCTCCTTACTACTCTCGCGGACTACAAGCCAGTGGATATCAAGGAGGCAGAGCACATTTGCGAAAGAGTTGTTCCACAGTTTCAGCACGTCAATCCAAGTGTCGTCTTGGCAGCCGTCAAGGTTGTGTTCCTGCATATGCGAAACATCTCTCCTGAGATGATGAAGTCGTATGCGAAGAAGATGGCTCCGCCACTAGGTATGTTGATGACAGACGCAGAACAGGCCATCACTAACAAACTGTAGTCACACTCGTGTCTTCTGCTCCCGAAGTACAATACGTTGCGCTCCGGAACATCGACCTACTGCTCCAGAAACAGCCAGACATTCTCAGCAAAGAGATGCGCGTTTTCTTCTGCAAATACAATGACCCGCCGTACCTGAAGATGCAAAAGCTGGAAATAATGGTGCGGATAGCGAATGACAAGAATGTCGATCAGTTACTGGCCGAGCTGAAGGAGTACGCCATGGAAGTGGATATGGATTTCGTGCGACGAGCAGTCAAAGCCATTGGACAGGTCGCGATTAAGATCGAGAGCGCAAGCGAGAAGTGCGTCAACACGCTGCTGGACCTCATCAACACCAAAGTCAACTACGTCGTTCAGGAGGCGATTGTGGTCATCAAGGATATCTTCCGCAAATACCCTGGTTATGAAGGCATAATACCGACACTCTGCCAGTGCATAGATGAGTTGGACGAGCCGAACGCCAGAGCATCTCTTATCTGGATCGTTGGAGAGTACGCGGAAAAGATCAACAATGCCGGTGAGATCCTGTCGAATTTTGTCGACACATTTGCCGAGGAGTTCACTCAAGTATGTCTGAAAATGCATGGCGGAGTACTACAGGAGCTAACATACGCCAGACACAACTTCAAATACTCACAGCAGTTGTCAAGCTCTTCTTGAAGAAGCCAGATCAGGCACAGGGCCTCGTGACGAAGGTCCTCCAGGCCGCGACTGCAGACAATGACAACCCAGATATCCGAGATCGAGCATACGTCTATTGGCGACTACTGTCCAGTGATCCCGAGATCACCAAGGAAATTGTACTCTCCGACAAACCCCCAATCTCTTCCACAATACGATCATTGCCTCCTCAGCTATTAGAGACTCTGCTTACAGAACTGTCAACACTGGCTTCGGTGTACCACAAGCCACCAGAGGCTTTCCTTGGACAAGGCAGATTTGGCGCAGAGGCGATGCAACGAGCTGCCATTGAAGAGCAACAAGAAGAAGCAAGAGAAAATCCGATTGCAGCGGCAGCAGCAGCGGCAGCAGTCAGTGGACAAGCGCCTTCAAACGTGGAGAACCTCTTGGACATTGATTTTGACGGCTCTGCGCCCGCTTCAATGCAGAAGCAACCTACACACGGCTCATCGGGTCTTGAAGGACTGGCAGGAACCCCCCAACGTGTCGCCTCTCCTGCAGTAAACGCGCCTGTTCAACAACAATCAAACATGGACGATCTGCTAGACTTGTTTGGAGATGGAGGTGGTGGTGCCGCAGCACCTGCACAGGCTACGCAGATGAGCAACGACGATATTATGAATGGATTCGCAAGCATGAGCATGGAAACAAGCCAGCCCCCTCCACCAACACAGCAACTAGGCGGCGAGCCAAGCAAGAAGAGCAACCAGGACCTGTTGGACTTGTTCTAGGTAGCCGCCCTGGAGGGAAATGTGCGTTCAAGTGTTTTGTGTTAGCGAAACGTGTGTCTAGTGAGCATCTACTGGCGCTAGGGAACATGGCTTGATACGAGTGACATGTATACAAATCGAGGGCTGATAGTGGCTATACCGCTACGCAAGAACAGTACTCCTTCCGTGTTCCATGCTGAGTGTTGCTGAGTTCACTAATACAGCACTACAACTGATGCACGGTGTTGTCCATGATATTGGTTCATTAACCGTTTCCATTCCATTAAGCATTACACTAATAATAATATTCCCATTCCGAGGCGGTAGGCTCAAACCAGCCATTCATACCGCCCATAGTGATGGTGAGATCAATGCAGCATTTGGAACAAATGCATTGTCTTCCTTCAATTCATACCCTCAACATCGTCAAATCCCACTATTGCAGACATCCAGCCGCTCAAAAAAAGGAGAAAGGGGCGGCGGCCGGGCGCTGGAGCGAATGTATACAACATGACTGTAAAGCTTTTTACAGTGCCAATAAGCCAAAGTAAGCGACCGACTTGGGTATCAAAAAGGGGGTACAATAAACCGCGCACTGTGGCGCTAGAAGGGGATATCCACGAGAAGAATGGTGTGGTTCCCCGATGCATGCTGCAGCGTCTTCTGCCGACGCCAGTGATTCTATGCCGTCAAATCCATGATTATAGAATGGATCGCTGAAATGCTTCGCAAACAATAAAACTCCGCTCCAATGCATAGGTCGTAAAGGCCGTCACCTGAGGACGTGAGGTGATGTGCGTACGTAGGGATGAGTATAAGTTTGTGGCGAGAGATGTAGATGTAGATAGTCGTGGTCTTAGTCTTTGCGGAGGGTGTGTTCGGTATCGGATCCAACTGTGTCGCCTTCCCAGAGGCTTTGAGAGTCGTCGGTAGGGGATCGAGCGCCGATGGGGCTCCTGCCACCAGTAGAGTAAGATGAGGAAGAGCCGCTGGCCCAGTCGTCAGAGTCGGAGTGAGGCTGGAACTCCTCGTAGATGTCGAGCATGCTGTAGCCAGCACCGTCCATGGGGTCGCCAATCTCGACGTAGTCGTAGTCCCATCGGAACTCCTTGTCGGATTGCGGGCGAGGGAGGAACTTGGCGCGACCAAAGAAGTAGCAGACACCAGCAACTAGGAAAGATTAGCCATGGTAGAGATGGGAGTAAAAACAGGAACTTACGCAGACTGCCAGCTACCAGGTCAACGGCGTAGTGGTGAGAGAAGTACATAGTTGACCACCAAAGCCACATGGTATAGAAAACGTATACGGGGAACAGCCTGGGGAAGACATGTCCCATAAACAGCGTCTCCAGGGTAGCCCATCCGGAGTGCAATGAGGGGAAAGCACCAAAGACCATGGGTGAGGCGAGGAAGGTGGAAGTGTAGATATCAATTCCAGTCAGCTTGTCGATTGCCTTGAGTCCCGCGGCGTCTCCAGGGATACTGTAGTTGGCGGGGGCCAATCCATATGAGTTCTCATACCAAGGAGGCGAGCATGGGAAGACGATCTGGATCAGAACAGCTGTGATGTTCATGTAGCCAAAAGCACGCGCCCAGATGGGTAGGGTGCCAGGGGGGCCCCAAATGAACATGCATCCACTGACAATAACAGGCGATACGTAGTGTACGACTCCATAGGGCAACCAGGCGAGGATGTCAAGGACTGTGTGCTTGTGTGCGGACAGAATGTTGCTCAGGTTGGCGCCGTAGAGGATATTCTCGAGAGCGGGGAGGACGCGGACCCAGATGGCAGGGCGGTAGTCGGCGGAGATGTATCTGGGGCGGAGGTTAGCTCGTTCTGCGAGTTTACGTGTTGGATAAGAAAGATGATACGTACTTGCAGCTCGAGAAGAGGAACAGCCAGGTAAGAGTAGGGAGCAATGGGAGGAGAAATTGTCGTGTAATGGGCAAACACAGGCCGGTCATGAGCAGCGTGGCTATGAATGTTTTGGCAAAGGGCCCAGGCGCCTCGCTCACGGAGAGGGAGAAGATGGCGACGATGGCGAGGAAGAGGTACTGGGCATCGTATATGGACCAGGAGTGGGTGCGCAGCGAACGCAGCGTGTCCGAGGGCGAGAAGGACGTCTCGAGGCCGGCGATGGATGACGTTGGGGCCTGGCGACTGCGTATGCGCGACTTGGTAGCCCTCCACTTCCTACGCACGCGATGGGGGATAAGACTGGGCAGGGCGGACAGGCCGGGGACCGAGGTGCGCGAAAGCATGTCGGACGCGGTGCTGTTGTCGAGGAATGCGAGGTAGCTCTTGTTGGTCATGGTGAAATGGTGGTGAGGTGACAAAGGACTCGGTCGCTCGGGGGGTGATGGTCTGTGGCGCAGTTACAGGGCAACAACAGACAGGCGACCAAAGGCGGGGGGAGTCGTCGGGTCTTGTCTTGTCTTTTGGAGCTGCGCAAGACGGTGGGCGGGCGAACAAGAGGGAAAGGAAAGCGGAAGAGGGCGGACTAAGGATTATGAAAGGCAGCCGTAACTTAGTGGAAGCTCCGGATGGCTGAGGCTTGCACAGTGCCGGGGGGTCAAATTAGGTCCGCGACGTGAGCGGCTACGACGGAGCTGGTTAGGGCCCAAGTGCTCTCAATTTCGTTTACAACGCGACGACGCTGTGTCTTTGCGCCAGGATTCGCATCAATGTTTCGACCCGCTGCCCGTCACGGCCGAGCCAAGCAGTCTGCGTAGCCGTGGTTGAACTCTGTGATGCACACACACACACACATGGCATCGTGGCCGTGGAGACACGACCCTTCACCTCGACCATGGTTGCTGACATGCGACAGGCAGGCAGCCTACTCCAGGGCTGTATCTGCATGCATGTGACCCTTGCAGCACTCATCGCTATCACGTTTCTCGGTCTTCCGTCACGCATGGCTTTGTCATCGCCTACAGGGCCCGTCTCTGCAAAACTGCTGCTGGACTGGCGCCAGAGCGATGCGGCGGTGCGTTAGACGCTTGGTGAGCCTGTCATGACATCAACATACAGGTGACGGCATCGTGCCGTCAAGCACATCGTGAAGGAACTGGACCCAATCGACGACCATCGACCTGTACATCCCTGTCGTCTTGTTTACGAGATACGGGCATCTGCTGGTAAGCCTTGCTGCGCTGTCGCAGTCATCATCGTCTCACAAGGCCACCACCCCCAGCCTCAAAGGAACACGAAACATGCGCTGCACCTTCACCACCTGTCCGCCCCGGGCTCCACTGCATTGCTAAACTTTCTCACCTCTTGCACGCTACTTACCAATCACACCCCTCCACCTTGACCTGCGCGAAAAAGCCACCGCTGACTGTACTCTGCCGTACCCTCGCGACGTCGTCTGAATAGGCGCCCTCGGCATCTCGTAAGATCCGCAAGCCGTGCTACCCTTCACCCTCTTGGCTGCACACACATGCAAAGTCCTAGGGCCCTTTTTTCCATTGCCATGGTTCCACCCGCACGCCTCTAAACGGCCCTCTGCTCATGCCATGCGCAATTTCTTTTTTCCTGTCCGATCCGCCCGCTGCCCAATCGCCGATGCATCTCGCCATCTCGGACCTAAGCAGGGCGGAGGCTCGGACGAACACAACCTCCATGCCAACCCTTCACGACATTCGCCTTCCCCAAGCTAGTCAGCGGTCAAGAAAAAAACCTCTTAGCGAGTCAAAGAAAACTCAATCCAATAAAATTCGATTAAACAGAAAACGTTCCATTTCAAGGCCAAGTCACAAAAGAAGAGTCGAGATCGCGACCATCGCAATTTCCCTCCTGCCTTTGTCTGACTCTCCACGTCCCTTCTCCAACAATGCCATGTACATCATCCCCTTTTACACTGACAATGCCATAACATGCCATGCCCGTGCATTGACTCAGTTTGCCCCAACAACGACAATGTGCGAAACAAACCACCCGCCCGCAGTCTCTCCGCCCGTTTGATGCGGAAGAACAAAACACGGCGTCAACGAGTGTTTCACTAAAAAGAATCCAAGAACGGTCTTGCACGCGAGGAACAACATGCGCGAAAATGTCGCGCAGAACCCAGTAGGCTCGTATTCAACGTATCCAGTCTTTTGATTTCTTCTTTTCCCGCTTCACCTCTCGTACGCGGTCTCGGACCCCGTCAAGGCCCGAGCGCACATAAACTGTCGCGCTCTGCAAAGGCGGGAGTCGGGTAATTTTCCTTCCCCTTGCACATCGCTTTCTTGCCGTCTCGCTGCCGTTCGGCACGCGAGCTTAGGTTGTCGCTGATCGCCATGAACACTGCAATGCTGATCTCGGAAGTCTCGGAAGAGTCAATAGGGAGGCACGGAGGAGACTCCATTAAAGAACCATGTAAGGATGATATTCAGGTACCGCATTGCACGGAGCAATGCCGTTTGTACCGTTTTGTACCCTTTGGCCAGGACGCGCCGTGAAGTTGTCTGTAGTCGTCCAATGAACGGAAAGTGCCCTCTGTCACAAAATCCACTCCGTATATAATTAAAGAAAATCTGAACTTCTACATCCATCAGACGCGCTGAGAATGCTACATAATGAAAACGCCGATACTTTCACAGAAAGATGCAATACAAAACTCGCTCTACAAACCAAGCCGAAGCTGTCCATGACCGTTTGAGAAAAAACCCAGTCAAGCCGACATGCAAACGCCATGCTCGTTCGTATATCGTATCGCGTGCTAACATCCACAAAACGCATCCTCCATCAAAACATCAAGTCACGTATGTCCATCACTATCCTAGGGTGTGTCGATAAGGTCCTCCAAGAACTCATCGAGTTCGATAATCGTGAACTGTTCCGCCCACTTGGACCTGAACTGGCGCTTCCGGTATCCACTGTTGATCTGCTGTCCCCAGCTAATCAACTCCACCTTCCAGCCTCTCTTCAGGGCCCGTTCAACGTGGGCAAGAAAGCCGTCCGACATCTCTGCAACAGCCCCATCTCCAGTCGCGAGAACCATGGTGCTCGGCACTTCGGTATCAATGATGCTCTGACACATCTTCAAGTGAAGAATCTCGTCGACACCCTGCTCAACCCATTTCGGGGCTGAAGGTGTCTTGGGAGCCGGCGGACCCGTTTCAGAGTCGCTGCCGCTCTCAGCACGCATTTGAGTAGCCTTGTGCCAGCCCATCTTCTTGACATCGTTGAAGAATTTCTTCTTGTCCGAGTCTTCGCGTACAATGAGTACCTGCTCTTGCATGATGCTGTCGTAACCGACGGCCTTGGATGTCTCAACCAACTTGGCCACATGTGGCAGAGGATTGGCTTCACGGTGCGACCCAGCAAAGAAACGCTTTGCGACAGGCCGGCGACGCTCCATCAGAAGCGCAAGACTGTCGAATGACATGTCGTACGCATCATGTCGCAATCCGTGGTTTCGGAGCATGTCCTTCAGCCCTATCATGATGTTCGAGGCATCAACAAAGACATGCAATCCATGCGCCGACTCTCGCTCACTGAGAAGTTGCATAGGCGATACTAGCCACTTTCGGTCTTCGGGGAAGGTGTTCAACAATTTGTTAAACAAATGGTAATGACGCTCTACTTGCGATCTAATCGCGAGCGATGGTCGCCGTCCACTGAGTGAGGCAACATTTGGCGTTGGGGTAGTGGGTGGCTGTTGAGCAACAGCAGGTTGGGAGCAAGTTCGTGGTAGAGTGACAGGTCGAACAGTGCGGGGAACAAGACCATGATGTACTGGTGTGATGGCACGGGGCAGTTGTTGAGCCTCGGCCAAAGTGTCCTGGCTTGGTGCAGGTGTGCCAAATGGCTTGTATTGGATCTGGGCGGGTGCGGGTGCAGTGGAAGGAACTACGACCGGCACTTGTTGAAGGGGTCGAGGGGTTGCTGGCTGGGCCACAGAAGGCCGCTTGAGTATGCTGGGGCGGGACTTGGGGGTCCTGGGCTGCTTTTGTTGCGTTTGAGGGGCTTCGGATGTATCCTGTGCTGCTACCGGGGTAGGAGTCGCAGGCCTGATCTTAGCGCCCACGTTGGATCGCGAGTGTGTTCGGGAGGTCTTGGATGGCGTTTCGGGCACATCAACGACCTTGGTATTAATGTCGGTATTATCGTTCAATTGCTTCCGCAATAACGCTTGTTGTGCTTGCTGCTTTCTTTGCTCGCGCTCCTCTGCAAGCTGAGCCAAGGTGTCTTGAACAGCCTGTTGACGATTTCGCTCTTCTTCCAGTTCCTTCTCGGCACGTCTGCGAGCCTTCTTCCGTTGGGTCTTGGTCAAACCCGTATTCTCTATGGGCTCCTCGTCTGGACTCTCGATATGATTGGCAGGCGTCTTGGTGGACTCTAAAGTGGGGGATGGTAGTAACGCCTCATCAGAGTTGCTCAGTTCGGACTCAGGATCGAGTGGCGGCAGTGGCGCGGCGTCGGTATCGGCAAAGCCTAAGCTTTCGAATAGCTTGGAGAAGCTTCCTAGGCGTATTCCTCCATCTTTCAGCCCAGAAGCTTTGGGTGGCGCCGCAGGCCGAAGCGTTGGGCTGCTAACGTCTTGGGCTCCCGAGTCTATCAAGTTGATAACGGAGCTGAAGTCCCAGCCGGAGTCGGGCGGTTGTGAAGGCATTTGATCGTTTTCGGCGAGTGAAATGGGGTTTAGCTTTCGTGCGTGTTCGTCGTACGGACTTGGGTGCTATTGTGCAGATGACACTGGGCCATTATTAGTTATGTGGACGACGAACCATGGTTAGGGCGCTCAAGGCTACCACCCGCACCAGCGTATGGTACAGCCTGATAGAACCTCGACGAGCCAAGTACGGGCGCGCCTTCTGTATCGTAATAAATGCCAAACATACCGTGTAACTGATCTCGAAACAATGGCCTCAGTCGCACGCTCATGGTCTATCGCGACAGGTTAAAGACAGGAGTGTCGCCAGGCTGAACCGAGGGCTCCAGACACGAGTGAAGAGGAAGGAATAAGTAGTGACTGAACAATGAGAGTGGCGCGAGGGTAGAGGTAAGTAAGTGAGCTCTGGGTGGCGGCGGGGTGAGGGTGATCGGCACGTAGTCACTTGTGTCTCAGCCTCATAAGGTCAGTGCTCATGAATCATTCGGGTCGGGTCGACATGCCAACGCCACCACGAATGACACATACAAACCGAGTGCAGCTTATTGGGCTTCTTGCACGCCAATCTAGATCGTGCCACAAACCAGCCTGTACATCGAGTTTAATCATCGGAAAGACAGCAGGATGTCATGGTGTTCTTCACTTGTTGCTTATTCGTTGGTGCTGTCGAGCGCACGAACGACGTCAAGCGTCCCGTGAGAAACTGGATGG